CTTGAAAAAAAAAAGCATGGCGCTGAGAAAATTGGCATGAAGCCCGCCATACTAGTTTGCCTTAGATTTAACACTTTATTTACTACACTGTGATTTAATAATTCAATCCAAGTATACACAACTCTTGTAGGATTGTCAGAGGAAAAGAAATAAGCAATTCGTGTCCAAATGAAAATATTCAAAAAAAAAACGTTGGGACTAAACGTCTAAAAGTCCCGTCATCTTCATACAGATTTTTCAGTTATCACTTGATAACAGCATATGAAGAGGGTTCATTTCTTTCACTAAGCTTTTTGGTATTCACTTTTGGCGTTTTCATTGGTCATCTCTTTTATGTAACTAACATTAAACTGGGGAACTTTCCTTTCAATAAATGAGTCCCAAGCATGCGTCCCACTCCTGCGCTGTCTGTAAAAAATAAAAAAAAAAAATAACTCCTTCAATTTAATCGTGGTTATTTATTTCTGAGGAGTTATTCTATTGCTTTAAATTAAGGTTACATGCCAAGCACACTTTTGCAACCTGTAGCATATGGCATAGTTTGCTCATACTAAGTTGCCTGGCCTGTAATAGATGTCAATGTTATGGATACTAAAGATACCTCCTAGATTTTCCCAGCACGTAGCAGTTGTTTGATTATCAAATGAAATGCTGCACTGTTTCCCCCGATACCATTGATTTGATCTTGAACCATCAATGGCCCTATCAGAACTAACTGTGGAGTCTTGGGAAGTGCTTTGCCACGTTGATCTTATGAGGGCTAGGTTCTCTAATGATTACAACTTATTTTGATGTATCACTATGAAGAAATAGTTCAGGTAACCCCAATGTTTGTATTTCATAATTATGATAAAATGAAATGATAATGAATGCTTAAGTAATAGTTGTTGTATATTTATTATGGTGTATCCTGATTAATTTGGACAAAGGGCGGTGACGAGTGCGAAGCACGAGTCTCCGCCCCTTTGTCCAAATATATCAGGATACACAATAATAAATATTCAATAACTTTCTTGTATCATGGCCAATCAAAATGTCAATAATTGTTATGTCCTAAATTTTCAAGCATGATTTTTAATTACACCAATAAAAAATATAGTTTTTGTCAGATGACAGCATGGATATTCTCTCCTTCCCGCCAGTATTTTTAAATCGCACATTTTATATGTGTGTTCATGAGAAAGGACGTCGGATTGCAGCTCTCAAACTTAATATAAAAATGGATTGTTAATGAAATTTATAAGAAAACCTTTGGAAATCAAGGATGAAAAATTCGAAGTTGAAGAAGGGAAATTCAGGTGTTAATCGAAAAATCAAGAAAAGAAAGATACCCGTTGATCATTTGACATATTCGAGAGCTGTAGCATGAACAGAAATGCTGTGTTAATAACTCTTCATCTATGGATGCAGTACAGCTGAACTTTATTCTAGTTGAGCTAAGAATACAGCAAAGATGGTATATCCTGCTAAAAGGCTCTTTTTCAATAGGTGTGATATTTTAAGTTGTATCATGGCTGTGGTGTTTTTCCTTTGAAGTAAGGTGTACAATAACTGGAGATACACCGATGGGCGGAGCCAGCAAATACTGTGCCGTGTAAATAAATTATTGAACTCCAAGGCGATTTCAACATTTTAAATTACATATATACTAAAACTGAATAACAGAATAAAATGGACTTTGTTATATATAATGACAAAATTTCTGTCAATGAAATAAAGGTCTTTCACATAAATTACAGTGCACATGTATTCCAAAATACGAAATGTGCTTACGGAACTCTGCAAATATTCGATTCGCCGCAACGAGAAATCAAGGTCTGGACATAAATTCCACATATAAATGTCTTAAAATACCACACCTATTGTAATAGAGCGTTTTAGCAGGATATACCATCTTTGCTATGTTCTTTGCTCAACTAGAATAAAATTCAGCTGCACTGCATCCATAGATGAAGAGTTATTGACCCTGACACAGCGTTTTTGTTCATGCGACAGCTCTCGAATATGTCAAATGATCAACGGGTATCTTTTTTCTTGATTTTTGATTAACACTTGAATTTCCCTTCTTTAACTTCAATTTTTTCATCCTTGATTTCCAAAGGTTTTCTTATATATATATATTTTTTAAATCCGTGTTTATATTAAGTTGGAGAGCTGCAGTCCGACGTCCTTTCTCGTGAACACACATTTAAAATGTGTGTATTAAAAATACTGACGGGAAGGAGAGATTATCCATGTGGTCACCTGACAAAAACTATATCTTTTATTGGTTTAATTAAAAATCATGCTTGAAAATTTGTGACATGACAATTATTGACCTTTTGATTGGCCATGATACAAGAAAGTTATTGAATATTTATTATGGTGTATCCTGATTTATTTGGACGAAGGGACGGAGACTCGTGCTTCGAACTCGTCACGCCCTTCGTCCAAATAAATCAGGATACACCATAATAAATATACAATAACTATTACATATTTATTTGTGGAATTCATGTCAAGAACTTGATTTCTCGATGCGGTGGATCGAATATTTGCAGAATTCCGTAAAAACATTTCGTATTTTGGGATACATGTGCATTGGCAGAAATTTTGTTTTTGTATATATCAAAGTCCGTTTAATTCTGTAGTTCTTCAATATACATGTGTTGAAATCGCCTTCGTGTTCAATAATATATTTACACGGCTCAGTTTTTGCTGGCTCCGCCCATCGGTGTATCTCCAGTTATTGTACACTTGACTTCAAAGGAAAAACACCACAGCCATGATACAATATAAATAACTTAACTGAATTTTTATTACACTTGTGCTTATCTCCTCAAAAAGAGTACATATAAAATTGTCTTTTGCAGAATTTTTTGACATACTCTGTCAAAAATATTAATAAATTATGAAAATAAGTAATGCTTATTAATTCAGAATATTATGAGACTTCATTTCCTCTGATTGCTTTCATTCTTTGATAATTTAAAGTAAAAATATTCTTGTTTGTCTTTTATCAATCCCTTTATTTCTACCAACTCAAACTACTGTCCTGAGGAACATTATGACGTAAATCAAGGTAGTGGTTATTCGCCAAATATGAATGTTACAAGGACACCGCAAAGAGGAGCATCTCCTCGCAAAAGAGCATATTGATCTGTAAAAATAATATTACTTGCTTAACTTCTGTTACCACGCTCTCACTCATTTAACCCCCCCACCCCCCACCCCCACCCCCACTCAAAACACGCACACACACGAGCGTGTTACTATGTCCTCTCCAACTTCGTTGCGAGGGGATAAAAAGCTTTCTTGCAAGGAAAACACAATTTTACTTTTTTAAATTTTCCCAGGAGAAAACTTTTATAATTCTGAGTAAGTACAAAGTTGCCACTAGGTTTTGAATATTGAGTATGTTGAATTTTGCATGTCATGAGGTATGTTAACCGCAATTGGAGACACTGCTACAGTTTGGTTTCTTAATCAGTGTAAATTTATTTGAGCAGTGATCATTAGGAATAATTTCTAAGTTATAACTGAACGAATGTGTCGTACATTGCATCTATTATAGTTTACCTACAACTGTTATATCAGCCCTGTTGCAGTGAACAAAAGGTGAAAATAGTTTGTCATCGAAGCGTAAACATCTCCTTTTTTCAATTCGGATGTTTCATAATTTTTGTCGGATGCTTTGTTAATGGTGATTTTTAAAATTTTGTTATTGACTACAGACAGAAAAACTATTCTTCAAAGACCAGTGTATTTATCATTATTATTTTTTTTTTGTGCTTTAATATAAACAATATGGCATGAAATACATACAAGTGACCCGGCACTAAGACAAGCCGTAACTGGAACTCTTCAAATTAGAGGCGTGCTTGGTCATCTGATTGGGAGACTTCGACGTAGCGGAGAATACAAAACATGACGATCTCAATCCAGTTTAGAATGTTACATGTATTTGTCATTCCCATTAAAGAGTAGAAGAACTAATAGACAATGTGAGAGTGTGAAAGCCCTGGACCTATCATCCATTGATAAAAATTATGACGTTTCCGAGGCATGTATCGATACAGTGTATTTCGAGATGGACCGTCAACACATTTCAGTAGCTCCCTGTAATAGAGGGCGGAGCCCTCTCACGGGCCCGAAGGGCCCGTGAGAGCGAAGCTCTCCCTATATGTAACACGTATGTATGTAAAATATATTGAATTCTATTGTAAACTTTATTTTTATTACAATACTTATGGAACTGAGAACCTTGTGGCCAATATGGCGTCTATAGTCGTTTCCATCTTGAATCTCGCGACAAATTCCCGCATAAACGAGATGCTGGAGAATCGTAATTTTAATTCCAATCCTGCGTTAATGAAATTTAATCAATTCTTATAACCAAAATCACCGTATAGTACACATCCTTGTTACTTTCATTTTCAACTAACTTGCATTCGTCATAGACCTGACATGTGACGTCATTCATTGACTGCAGCGGAAACTGTTGAATTATTAACAAGGTGTAATAATTGATATTTCATATGTGTACTCTCTTTTTAAAAACAGATTTATTCACCTTTTGAAAAACCTTACTATATTTTGATGAAACAAAAAAACTCAGTTTAACGAATTCCGGTGACGTCACTGTCTAGACTGTGCACTAGGCACTATGGAGGGGCGGATCTTCCTGTGGCTCCTTTCACCAGACTTTAGGGGAAAGAAACAACTCTAATTTATTTGTTAATAAAATTTCTTAATTACGAATGTCTTCAGGATTATTTTCAATACACAAACTAGATATATAAGATTTTTCTTATGACATAGTATAATTTTCCTATTGAATAATACATTTAAAAAAATGTTCTAGGGTAAAATATTGCATGAAAAGCTTTACTGAATTGCAAATATTTGTCAGTTCTTGCCCCTTACGATGATATAGGTGGCACACTACACGTTTCGGTTCATAGTTACTTCCGGTTTCTCTTCGATTTCGATAACATTAGAGTAGTCATAATAAACATCAAATGCCCACTTGCTGTTGTGTGCCTGGTTGTTCCACCAGGGGAGGATTAAGCTTTCCAAAGGAAGAAAGGATAAGAAAGCTTTGGATTCGAGCCATTCGACGAAACGATGGGGATATGACATATAAACATTGGACGCCACAGCCATTTAGTAATGTGTGTCACAAACACTTTCGTGAGGAAGACTTCACCTCTGAAACACAGCACGGTTAGTAAGATTATTTGGCTTCATTTTTAGTTACTTATTTATATTTTGTCTTACAACATGATTTGTTTATAGTCCATAACAGCTGTGTAATAACGAGACGGATACACATGAAAATTTTATTTGTATCTATATCTGCTATATATCAAAATCAAATACCAGTTTTAATACAGCAAAAAATCAAAGACTTCATTGGAACTTTTTTTTTATTAAATGACAAATCATACTGAGAATTTGGCCATAGAGATGATGCTTTTATATAAGACGTAAACCTTTATAAATATAATGCATATATGCATACAATAATATTTACTTCTGTTACACATGTTCATAGTTGACACTGAAACAGCTGATATGACGTAAAGAATTTCAATGATTAACAGTTTATCATTTTTACATTTGCATGCTTTATTACGAATTATCTCCATTTTTTTACATGTTGACAAGTGCTTTTCTTTTCCATTACCAGCGCAGTATCCTAATATTAAACAGTTTGATGTTATCAAAATATGCAATGGAGTGGTCAAACTTGTGAAATATATTTTGAAAAATACCAAGTTTGCTATTTCATGGCTATTTTGTTATGTCATCATTCATCAAGATGTGGTGAGGAATTAGAGTCATTCTGCAGTCATGCTCTTTTGGAAGTTCCTGACACGTGGGTTAGGAAGTCACCACTGGATACGATAAGCCAAATAATACATATATCTTTTATTAAATTTTATACTTTTTGAACTAAAACTTTTAATCATCTCCTGATATATCTTGTTTTTTTTTCTCTCCAAAGTATTTTCATTATGTATTAAACAATAAAATATTTTTGATAACTTGATAGGCACTGAATCACTAAGACGGCAGAGAAAACCTGATGCAGTCCCTTCCATCTTCCCTTGGACCAAGTCAAAGTGGAGTTATGGTGTTGATGAGAGGAGCAAGAGAGTACTTGACAGTCGTGCCAAATTGGAGAAAGATGACCGAGAAAATTCGGAAATGGAAACAGAAATGGTTTCAGATGTTTGCAATGTATATGAAGTGGGCAACAGTGTAGAAGTTTAGGATGAAAAGTCTTGCTTCAGTGATTATGATATTGAGATAAGTGCCCCTGTTGCACCTGTTTTTGCAGATTCATCATGTCAAACAGCAAAATCGCCAATCATGTGTATTGAAAATTTCATGTATTATGATGAAGGCATCATGTTTTATACAGGGTTGAGTTCCTACACAGACTTTTACATGTACTGTATAGTCTTGGTGAAGCAGCCTTTCATATCAATTATATTTATAATCAGGTTCAAAATATGTCCATTGAAAATCAGCTCTTTTTGACACTGATTAAGTTGAGGCAACATAAGCCCAATTTCGAATTAAGTAGACTATTTTCAATATCACAAACAACTGTTGAAAATATTTGGATTACCTGGGTGAATTTCATGTCAAGACAGTGGAGGGAACTGAATTTCTGGCCAGACAAAGATCTGGTCTCCTTTTTCTCCCCCTCTGATTTTTACAGTAAATTCCCCTCCACACGAGTTCTGCTTGATGAAACTGAGATTCCTGTAAAGAAACCTAAACCGCCCATTGCCCAACAAGCAACCTTCTCTACATATAAAAATAGAAACACTGTCAAAGTACTTGTAGGCTCAACTGCAGGGGGTTTAATTTCATATGTGCCTTCTGCTTATGGAAGGTTTGCAATTGATAGACAGCTTGTTGAACAGAGTCCTTTGTTAAGTACTGACTTATTTGAACCTGGCGATTCTCTTATGGCAGACAAAGAATTCAATGTCCAAGATTTGTTTGCTCCTAAAGATGTAACTGTAAATATTCCTTCATTTTTTAAGAAACAAAACAGAATGTCAGGAAAGACAGTTTTGCGTGATCGCAAAATATCCAGCGAAAGAGTTCATATTGAACGGCTGATAGGGTTAGGGAAGACATACAAAATTCTTAAAACACCCTTAAATACAACCGAGACAAAATTAGCCAGTGAAATTTTATTTGTATGTTTCACACTGTGTAATTTCAAAAAAATGTATTGTTCCCAAATATGCATGATTTTGTCTCAACGTGTTCAATGAAAATGAATACATATAAGTTGGTTCACAGAGTCAATAACTATGATAGGACATGGTATATGTTAAAACATTTTTAATGGAAAGTTTTTATACTTTGACAAAACATATTCAATTTGTGCAGTCTGGTTGAAAAAAGAATTCACAAGCTTATCTAATGAACTTCTTTTATTGATAACAAGGTGGTAAAAATATAATACATTTACACTTACTACTTTAATATTACCCTAATCTAACCAATGGATTGTCAGTTTGTTTATTTATTTATTAATTCTCAATTAGTTGCAAGTATTTATACAACTAAGTTTCATAGCTAGTTACATAGTCATATGAATAGATTTTGAGGTACATGATCAATGTACACATAGAGAGTATAACTATAACTGTATGAACATGTACCAAGTGTAAGTTTCTATTTACAACATATAAAAAAAAAACTGTTCATGTGTGGCAGTGCCTATAGGTCCATAGATGTCATTGTTAACAACTTAAATTTTAGTTCATTTTGTGGTCATGGTAATAAAAGTTCTTCAGAATAGCAGTCTTGAAGTATGTGTCAAAAAATGAAATTAATTTCTGCAACATTCTGTCAATGAATGCTTGGTCTCTTTGAATTGAGATAACTTTAAGATTTTTCAGTGTGTAAACAACTAAATAACAGCATGTTTTGTTTGAACAGAAAAGTTGCCCTTGAATTTGATAGAAATAGTCATGAGTATTGTCTAGCTCTAAACATCCATCAACAATTTTTAAATACGAGACAGTCTCCTCTGATATTTTATTGTATTTTGCATGGTAGGGGCATTTAACTTCAATAAGCGTACTTTGGTCCAAGATGGCATCAGGTGAAGAAGTTATAAAAGGATGCAACTTTGAAACAAATATTCCACATTTTGAGGTTTTAACATTCAATTTTTCCTCAAACTTTTTATTGCCACCGACTCATAACATCTACCATGCAAAATAGCAGGTACCCGAATTTCTGGCATATGCTTTGTTAAATTTTCAGCCAGCTTTAAAAAATCAGTTTTGTCAGTAGCCTTGCAAATTCTGCCAAAGTTGGAATAATGAATTCTCTTTCGTCTCTCATCTCACCAGATAGCACTTATACTTTGACCGCGCGTTTGCTTAACAATATATTCATCTGAAATATTTGTTATATTCATGTTTTGTAACCATATGTATGACAATGGATGACTTAAATAGTCATGGTCTTTTTCTAACCCCATTGTGTTGGCAAGTGGGAAGATTTGTGAGACTGCTAAATCACTAATGTTGGGATGATTTAGCCAGACATTTCTGAAGGTATCTGGATATCCTGGCATATTACGATATGCTCTTGGTCTTGGATCATAACTAACATCCACTTCACCAGCTAAAGGCAAGTCATTTGCCTTTATTGGACTGCCTTTGTACACTTTGGTTTGATGGAAAGTTTGAAGGTTCTGAGTGCACGACTCCTCGGTTACAATGTCTCCACTTTTACAAAACATCTGTAAACTGAATAACACAACACATACATGCTTACATGCTTACATGCAGCAGTTGGGCCCATGCCCACAGCACACTCGCACTGACTTTCAACGATACACCCATCCATATCAACACATACATACACTTTATATGACACACTCTTCTTCATCTGTGCCTTGCATTCTGCCTTCACATAATAAAAGTTATTTTCAGCACAGAGTCTCACATACTTTAGAAACTTGCTCTCATTTATGTACATCACATTGCTATCTACACTTTTATTCATTCTTTCTAGATATGCTTTCACTGCCTCTTCTCTCACTCCTACTATCTGAGTATCTTTGTTGATTTCTTTAAACTTTTCATAACCAGGCACTTGCACACAATACTCTCTCTCTACTCTTTCTGCAGAACCAAAATTTGAATTTCTGTCATATGCTTCAAGTCTGAAATATGTTGAAAGGGAAAGACTCATGAATGTATTTACAGATACAACTTAGTGTTTAAAAAAAAAATGTTACATATTTTTATAGTTACTGCAATATTTTTATGGTCTAAACAGAGAGGTTTCTCATCAATAATACTCTCTCCCTTTCTATTTATCTATCTATCTATCTAAGCCTATCTATCTATATATATACTAGGCAAGTGACGCATTACCATTACATTTAGCATTACCCCAAGCCTGATACTGGCCTACTAGGTGCACAGGCCTCTGAATTTCTATCAACAGGCCCGAAGGAAGCAATTTCAGATGGGGGTGGGGGGGGGGGCACAGCCCTACATTTTCAGTTGAGGGGGCACTATAAACCACCAAAAATTCCTTGACAAGCAAAAAAAAAAAAAAAAAAAAAAGAAAAAAAAGTTCGCCAGACGTTTTTATTGAGGGGGCACAAGCATATAGTACCTATGTTTTCTATAGTAATATATATGTCGGCAAAATTATTGGGGGGGGGCACGGCCCCCCTTGCCCCCCCCCCCCCCCCGGTTCCTACGGCCATGAATTCAATAAGCCGTTATATGATTGATTAGAGTAATATATATACCCCCTCTATATATAGATGTATATATTTATATATAGAGGGAGTATATATATTACTCTAATCAATCATAAAACGGCTTATTGATAGAGATTCAGAGGCCTGTGCTAGGTGATAGGCAGTCGGGTCACAGTAAATGTTACGTGTATACACTAAGGCCATTTTTAATTTAAATTATTATACGCATTGTACAGATGATCTAAGATGTATTTGACGTAAAAAAACTGACTGGAATTTTTTTTTAAAAATGTAGATAGTACAAATTGTGATTAAACTCACAAAAATCTACATAAAATATGCTTTTGGAGAACTTTTATTGAAATTACGAAGAATATCAGGTACCGATATCGTCTTAATCACGATTCTGTGTACGACAGAGAAAATTATGGCTAAGAAACTGCTCGCAAGTATACCTTTCAACCAACTCTCTTTTGCGACCGGAAATGCGAGCATTTCGTTTCCGTAGCTCTTTTCTAAGTGTGGGTAGATCCCACGATCCGTAATCAGCCATTATATCTATAAAATTGAAGCAAACGAGCAAGGTCTACGAGGTCGAAATTACGTTGACACTCTCTAAAATTGAAGGTACGAATAGTGATGAACTTAAACGTGTTGTGCGCCACCTATAATTCAGGGAAGACAATGTGCAGTTTTATTTGCAATTCTGGTATGAACTCAAGAAGAGGGGAAGGGGAATGCATTTTAATTTTTTTTTAATCTTATTTTATTCTTATTTATTCTTTTATCATTGATTAATTAATTTATTTATTAATTTATATACTTATTCATTCATTCATTCATTCATTCTTGTCTTTGATTACTTGTTTGTTACTATATACATATGCAGGTGGAGGCCTGTGTCTCATATCTGTTGTTGTTATTTTTTTTTCTCAAAAGATTTATCTTTTTTTTTTTTTTTAAAGTATCAAATTTCAGTTTCGTGAAGCTCACGATCAAAAGAGAAATCTTTGGACATGTCTGAAGCTCAAACTACCACATCAAACACATGTTCCATTTATACATGTGGATACACTTCAACGGATAAAATAAGATTATTTCCAATTTTTGTTATAAAAAGTACTTTTAAAAATATAGAACAGCAAATTTATTCAGCCAGTTGCAACCTATGGTGGATTATGATAGTGTATAAAGTCTAAACTCATATGAGAAAAACTAAGTTAAACAATACATTGAGGGACTGCAAAACACATGAAATGTATATTAATAAAGTTTAATGTTCTCTTGGCTTAAAAAAAACAGAATCTTCATTTGACATTACCCATGGTAATCCATGTAAAGAGTTCAATGTTGTTGAGTAGTACTAAAATATCCTTTTTTGAAAGCTTCAACATATGATCCTTTTTATTAATTATGTGGTGGAAAACATCAATTACTGATGCGGGGGGGGGGGGGGGGGGGTTCGATATATCTCTAAATATTCTATTTGATACGTCCCAGAAATGTACCCTAT